GGCGGGACCCCCATGATGGGATTAGCATCCTCATAAGAGGAAGACATACCAGAGCCTCTTCTGTCTGCCATGTGAGGACATAGCAAGCCAGGAAGGGGGTGCTCACCAGAACCCAGCCAGGCTGGCGCTCCGCTCTTGGACTTCTAGCCCCCAGAACGGTGAGAAATAAATGTCTGGTTTAAGTCCCCCCATCTATGGTATTTTGTTAGAGCAGTCTGAGCTAGGACACGCTCTGATGGACTTACGGAGCTACAAGTAATTTGGCAGGGGTGGGTTCCTCTGCTTCTGAAGAACTGAGTCCTCCAGTAGGCACCAGTCATGTACACTACCTGTTGATGGAGAAATCCCCGACACCTAACAGGGAAGACCGTAGCCATTGCGAGGCCAGCTCTGAAGACTACCTAACTCACATCCCTGCTTTCTCTCCCCTACCACACTACTGGTCAAGCCACATTTGAAAGACAAACCATCTGCTACATTTGCCCCGTCCTCAGCCCTGAATAACACCAGCCCTGAGTCCTAAACCAATAGAAAACAGAATTAAAAGCAATCAAAACCACAGCGTCCCAGCCTATATTGGCCACTAGATGGAGCTATGCATCGCACCAAAAAGACCAGAGGTGAAGCTGATTTTCTCCAAGTTCTGCATATAGAAACTTGAGTTTCATAGCTGGAGAAAGCAAATTATATAAGCCCAAGGTCCTGAGAGGGTAGGCATGGAGAACAGACCATGCACAAAGAGTCATTCAATACCTACTTGTGGTCTCTGAGTTTAGAAAAATAATGGGCACATCATGCCTTCCAGGAGCTCCACCTCTGATGGAAGACAGAGTGAATGACAGTTCTTGAGCACCCTGGACTCTGCCAAGCACTTTTCAAGTTCTACTGCTAAGTCCCAAAGGTTAAGAACTTGTCCCAGTTCACTTGGCAGAGCCAGGATTAAATCTCAACTCAGTTTGCCTTTTAAGACTGTTTGCTCTCCTCAACACCAGCCAGCCTCTCTCAAACACTTCCCACACCAAGTGAAAAGTTCACATGTAAGGTTGGGTGTGAACCAAGGCCACCAGAAACACACGGACAGAGATAACTCGGGCTGGGGACTTCAGGAGGGCATCACAGAGGAGGTATTTCTTTTATTATTATTTTTTAGGAGGTGTCTGTTTTTTGGATCAGTCAGATGGTACTGAATGGCAGGTAGCCCAGAGCAGTGGGAAATGTGGGGCATGTGAAGTAGGATGTGGCCAGGGTTAGGGCAGGGAGGGCAGCTGATGAAAAGACCATAAAGAGCCTCCCATGTTCAGTTGAGATCTGTTCCCCCAAGACATGGGAAGCCATCAAAAGTTCTTGGAAAAATTTCTGACGTTACATTTAAATGATCATTTTTTTTTCCAAGAAGGGATGTATACTTTGGAACGTGATACAACTCAGTGCCTCCTTTGAAAAGAAATAAATCATCTTTCCAAACATATGGATGCTAAGTCTGTCCCTTTAATTTTATTCTATACCATATGGCACTTTGAATTTTTAGAAGATCAGTAAACGGATTGACTTCACAGATCAAAACTTAGCAAGAGACATCTTCGTCTGTTATTTTCATTTCTTTTCCATTAAGGACAGCCAAAGCCCAATTTATCAGTCTAATAAAAGGAAGTGGTAAGGTCCGGCAACAACTTGTAAAGTACTTAGACATGCCTAGTACCTACTAAGTGCAATGGAAAAGTTTAATACACACTCCAAAAGACAAAAGGCATTTGTTACTAGGTTCTTAGCAAAACTCAATGGAAATAAGGTAATTTCAGGCGCACCTTAGGGAGAACTGAATGATGCACACAGGTGCACGTGCGCACATAGCCAGTGGAGACAATGAACTAGAGACAGCAAAAAACAGCTGCTGTATACCAAGCTGGGGTACAGTGTGTCATTAAAAAAAAAAAAAAAGTCACAGGCTTTCAGAAACCAGAACTTAACTTCCATGTCAGGCATTCTAAATAAACTCACTGTAAACTTTCACAAAAACTCTCCTTAAAGAGTACTCAAAGGGATTTACATATTACTCATACATCAAGGCTGTTCCCACTAAGCCAAATAAGCATTTGGATGAAAACTTGAATCATCTCACTGTTTCCAAGTGTCTGGATGTTTGAGGTTGATAAGACATCTAGACCTTGTCTGAAACTCTGTCTTCATCAGATATTTGCCATTAATCAGATACAACCTCAAAGAGAAATATCTAATTGTCGAAGGTTAAAGACCATAGTAATTGCAGTGCTGTAAGGCTTAAGGGAGTGAAGTGATGGACCTAATGTCACAGAGCTTGCAAGGGGCAGAGCAGGGCTCCAGCACCGCCTGATATCTCAGTCTGTTTTCTACCACATCAATGGTTTCAGCGAAATGACTTATTTAGCAGATACTGAAGCACAGAGCAAGAGCCCAGTCCTTCAATACCTACATGTTGTCATGTGTGTAAGAGGAAAAAGGAGTGAGTACAAAGGACGTGAAAGCTGCCCTGAACTCAGCATATGAAGGCAAACTGGTAACGTGGCCCCGAGCAGAAACTCACACGCATTTCCATACAGTGGAGTCCTACTTAACTCGTGTTCCAGAGTGTTACAACTAAAAGGAGCATTCGAGGCCATTTCGACTCCCCCCTCCTCATTTTGAAGGTAAAGTTCTACATTAAAAGAAATGGGGAAGAAAAAGCAGACCAGAGTTCTCCAGTTTCAATAATTGGGTGGTTTGCTTACATTTCCGCACTTTTATCTACACTTGCTCCGAGTGTATCTCACTTGCTCAAAGTGTAAGCTTCCCGAAGCAGGAACTGGAATGTAAACATTTGTGCTGTTTCACAGGGATAAAGGTTATGGCTTAAGAGCTAAAAGAAAAAAAACTGCGAATGTCTCACAGGGACATCACTAAGGTTCAGTGGATGGTGTTTCAATGTCTCCACCTTGTGGAAATGGTCAATACTGCATCAAGATCAGACACTGACCACCTATTGAGGATTAAGACTGACTTGACAGTAAAATTAAGTATTATAAGATAAAAAAAAATCTCAAAGTAACTCAAAAATATTTTGGTAGCATATTACAGTGGGAATGGCTGGTAATAATCTTGAGGCCATGCTGGATACCAAAAGTCTTCTAAATAAATAAAAAGGCAATTTAATCTTAGTAATAGGTGTGACTATTTTTTGTGCTTATGGAAAACCAGAAACACAAAATGATGCTCTCAGTTGCCCAGATCATTTCTAGTCCATTAGCGTTCCCAGCCATTCTGGAAAGTAGAAATTTGTTACATTGTAAGGGTTTGGTGGCTCTTGTCTTCCAAAGTTTCACTCACCAAGATGGTTCTAAAAGTGACAGGCAGAAAGCCAAAGAACCTTTATAGCTGAGGTTTTCATTGAATAAAAGAACATGCCTACTCAGGTAAAACTAAGCAAAAGTAATTTTGAAATAAACTCCAGCAGTTGGTGCTAAGAAGCAATAAAATATTGGGCAAGATGGTGTAAAAACTCCAGCAGTTGGTGCTAAGAAGCAATAAAATATTGGGCAAGATGGTGTAGTGCTAAGAAGCAATAAAATATTGGGCAAGATGCTCTGGCTTTGAAGCCATGAACCCTGGGCTCTGCCTCCTAATCACTTGCCATTTGGGACCTTGGGCAAGTTATTTAACCCTTCAGAGCCTCAGTTTACTCATCCATAAAATGGGAATTATGATATCACCTGCTTGCTGTGAGAACAGAACGAGGTTATGCATATAAAGCCCTGGCCCAGCGCTCAGCACACAGTGGGAGCACATTAGCTATTATTAAAATTATGAAAGTACTGACTCACCCATGGGGGTCCTGATCACTCTGTTCGTGGAAAGGAGCAGTATGATTATTCTGCCCGATTTCTATTATCTGCAATTTTGTCTGCTAGCATGGGAGAGGAGGAAAAGACCATGGGGGAACTTCCGTACAAGTGAGGCTAACAGATGGAGAAGTCTCAGGCAAGCGAAATAAACAGAGGCACCTTCTGTTTACACTGTGATCTGGAAGTGCAGCTAAAACCAGGCAGCCATGCCTCGCGCCACACACAGCCGCAATGCGGCTTAGACACCATCCCACCGCTCCCCCGAATTTCACATGTGAGTAAATGGATCACAGGGAGGCTGGGTTTGTTCCTTCATCTATCGAGGCACATGTTCATTTATTTAGCACGATGTCTAAGCCCCTGTACCTAGGGGGCACTGGGGATAAGGTGGCGAACAAGCCAGCCAATGTTCCTGCTTCGTGGTGCTTATTGTGGGGTAAGCAGGAGGGGGCCGGAAGTCCATAAAATATAAACACATCATCAGGATAATTTCAAATAGTAATAAGCTTTCAAAGGAGCCTAAGACGATGATGGAGAGGACGAGGGCATGGGGCAGGCCACATAACTACTTCAAGCTGAATGGTCAAGGAGGGCTCCTCCAAGGAGAGGCCAGTGGAGCAACAAGGAAGAACCAGCCATGCCGAGATCAAAGACCAGAAAGATCAGAATGGAGGCTGACAGTGCACAGCCCGGGAGGTAGTGAAGAGCTTAATGAGACTGAGGAAGAAAAGGGGCAGCCACAGCCGAGGAAGCAAGGCGGGTGGAGAACGAGGAGCTGGGAGAGGAAGGTGAGGGCCAAATCCGATAGGACCAGGGAGCGCAGGCTGAAGAGTCTGGATTCCATCTTAAGTGCAAGGCTCGGTTTAAAGGACCAACACAATAGGTTTGTTACCAGCTGTCGCTCTGGCCGCTGCTGGAGCCTTCTAGACCTCCCAGCAAGTTCCTGGCTAAGTCTGGACTGCAGCCCACGTCTGGTGACTCTCAGCCCAGAAGGTGCCCCTGCACACCACACAGCCTTTGACAGAGCAGAAGGTGAACTAGACAGTTTGATCTCCATCAGAGAACTTAAACAAAGCCCTACGAGAGAGACACCGGCTGCCAAGCTGCCTCCCGTTCTTCGAAGAGAGAGAAGCCCCAGGTACTCACCCGCTGGTGATGTCATCCGTCCGGATGTTCTTGCTCAGAACATCCCCATCACTCATGTAGCCGGGGGCATCCATGCTGATGCCTTCCAGGTCCATCTCGTCTCCTGCCTTGTCTGAGATGTCCACGTGGCACACGCTGTTTCCCCTGGAGGCGAGCTGCCTCCGCAGAGGGGCAGAGTACACGTAGCGGCCCGACTCGGTGTTGATGAACCGGCTGGCATTGGCTCGAGGGGGGTACCCGTTGCCCATAGAGGGGGCATCTCCCGCTTGAAGCCGAGGGCTGGACTGGCCGAGTCTCCAGGACAGGGGAGTGGGTCTGCCGCTCAAGCTGAGGATACTGCGCCCGCTTATCTCCGTGGTGACGTTGCTGTCAAATGTGGTTTCCAATGTGCTGAAAACATAAAACCAGCCTTGGCTTAGACAGACCCTCATGTGCTTAGTATCCCTTTGCAGTTTATATGTTATGTTCTTTAAATATTTTTTTTAGGATTATGAAATATTTCCTATATACAAAATAGGATCAAATAATAGCCACTGATGTGCCACACGGCGTGTTTCCTCTGTGAGAAATGAGAAGACGGAGCTGCAGAGTATAGAACACTCTGGAAAGCCCGGAAGAGACTTTCTCCCTAAAACATGGTATAGGATACCCACTACCAATTCCTCTCGTTAAATGATTTTAACTTTTAGCATCTTTTTTCCAACCCAAGAAAGGAAAGAGGAAATGCCGAAATGATAACGAGGGGGCGTAACGTACCCGCAGGTACACACCTTCTCGCACACTGTGTCACAGCTCCCCTTTCTGCTCCGGAGCTCCCAATGTCACCTGTCACATGCTCAGCTCCCATGAGACCAAGCAGGTGGGGAGAGCCCTCTTTCCCCAACACTTTTGCTTCTCCCACATTTTCTCCAAAAGACAGCTAAACTTTGGGGGGCAAAAGGCTGAGAGTAGTATATACCCAGGCTTGAGGTCCAGAATAAACTAAATTACAAGGATCTGAACCTGCCAGGCAACTGAGCTCATCCCTGGCCATTGGAAAGACTCCTGCGTCCACTCTTTCTGGCCCTGCAGTTGTTGTGGCCCAAGCAAGCTGGTTAGTGTATCTCCGCAGAGCACACTGGGGTGTTCCGACTAAGCAGAGAGGCTCTTTCCTGCAGAAAAGCCATCGAAGGGCTCCCTGATGTCATCATGACCATCCTAGCCCACACCAAGAAAGCCACTGAACAGTCATGTCCCCCAGCGAGTCAGTGTCGGTGATCAGGGTGGAAAGAGGATGTTTCATACTTGATCACAGAGTCCCAGGGCCTAGCAGCTGGCTCCATGCTATTACACAGCTGAAGGTTTGGTGGGGGGGCACCCCACTACCACCCCCTAAGTTGACTGTCCTCTGGAAGAACCAATTTGGTGCCTCAACTGCTTTATTGTTTCCCTTCGATCCTAGAAACAGCCTTACTATCCTCATACTGGGGACCTCTAAGGATCAGGCCCCTGTCTTATTTAAGATAGAACCCAGAGTGCTTCACCCCAATCTGCCAAAGCCGCCAGGAATGGGGAAGCCCTACTGTCTCCTTGTTCTATTCATTTATCAAAGAGACTGAAATCAGAGAACAGGAGACTCCTTGGGAGTTCACTGGGGTAACTAGGACTCTGTCTTCATTATCAAAGCCCAGCATAAACCTTAAAGCTTGGTTCTGCCAAAATCCACTAATGGCGTGTCTGAGGGTTGCATCCTCTTCAACTTCTTGCTCAACAATGAAAACAACCTGATGAATGTTTCCAATGTAATCCTAGATTTCATCCAACTAACTCATAGTTTAAACATGATCATAAGTTTTTATAAATATTTCCTTACGTGTTTTATACATGGGCATGACTAACAACATTACAGAGTGTTGTGTATCAGAAGACTGGGTAGGAATTCAAGTTATTCACTTTATCACACAGGTCAAATATAGTTCACCTGCTCATTTTCAGAGCACAATACAGGCTTGGAAAATGCAAGTAAAGCGAAATCTAAATGGAACTGGTCCACAACATCTTCTGTTGAATGGATTTAGCAACCATCTGCTTTGGGGAGGAACCAGTCTACACTCATTTTCACTCCTTATATTTCTCTTCTGCACATCGCATGGCCCTCCCTGTGAGTTCCAGCACATTTGGGGAGCGAAGTTATTTATTCCATTATTAGCCAAGTCGCTTTGCATTGGCATGAACACACACAGGAGAAGCTGCATGAAAATCAAGTTGCTGCAATTTGGTGAAGAAATTCACACGGCAGATACCTGTGTGTGACCTGAGTCCCCCGTAAACTAGACATGGTCTCCTCCAAATTCTGCCGCAGGTCGGCGATGTTCTTCACGGTCCGCAGTCGCCGAGCCTCGGGGTCTTCCCCTGGAAAGATGAAGGTTAAGACTTTTAATTCTCTGATTGACCGGGAGCTCCGTGAAACACACCATGTTCCACGCTCACCAGGGGCGCTTAAGGATTTGAGAACAAATGGATGGATGTAAGCCCAAAGGAAGTTGTTAAATCCAAGGAGAGAAGTCTTTCTTTACCCTCCAGGTCCCTCCTGAAACAGGTAAACTCTAGCTTGTAGGAGAAGCAAGGCACCTAGTCTGAGGGGTAAATACATTTTCAAATGGTCTCCAACAAAGACACACACAAGTTAGGTCTGAGCACTCCCCGCGAATCATCTTCTGCCCACGCAAAAGCAGGTGAGGCACTGTATCTTCTCATCCACTGGTGATAACACGCTGCTCTCTACCAGCCCTACTTCATAAATGGGACTTGCACAGTGGCTAACCGATCTTTACTTATTAATCACAAATACTTCTACAGAGTGAGGTCTGCCTCATTCTGTTAGATTTACTGTGACATCTCAAATTCTGGTTCCTCTAACTCATTGGCTATGGGATTGGGGGGAAGGCGCTGACCCACTCTAGCCTTCAGATTCCAGAGTATTAAAATGAGGATAGTGACAGTACCGACCTCATAGGACAGCTGCAGGGACTAAATGGGATGGGGCCTGGAGACCCCTGAGCATAATGCCCACCTCAAGCACTGACTCATGCCTGCCGGCGCTGCAGGGAGGGAAGCCGTCAAGAGGATCGAGGGCTTCTCTTTGGGTGACAAGAGACTTCCATTCTCGGGGCAAGATTTTCTGCAGGACACCTGGCCAGGCAGAGGTGAAGCAGGCACAAACATACCAGGAAAAATAGGCCACACACAAGCTGGGAAACCACGTGCCCTCAAGAGTAGCCTTGCTCTGGGTTCTCTGGCTATCCTGCTTTGTTTGGGCTGAGATGGCGCAGAGGAGATGGGGCATCACTACGGGGATGATGAAAGGAAGCAAGTGTCTTTCCTCAGAGAAATTCCAGGGAGGGCTGAGAAGACCGCAGAACCACCATCAAGGCTTTTTTTTTTTTTTTAATTCATTTTTTAAAATTTTATTTTATTATGTCAGTCACCACTCATTACATCATTAGTTTTTGATGTAGTGTTCCATGATTCATTGTTTGCGTATAACACCCAGTGCTCCATGCAGAACATGCCCTCTTTAATACCCATCACCAGGCTAACCCATCCCCCCCCCTCCCCTCTAGAACCCTCAGTTTGTTTCTCAGAGTCCATAGTCTCTCATGGTTCATCTCCCCCTCCGATTTCCCCCTCTTCATTCTTCCCTTCCTGCTATCTTCTTCTTCTTTTTTTTTTTTTTTAACATATAATGTATTATTTGTTTCAGAGGTACAGGTCTGTGATTCATCAGTCTCACACAATTCACAGCGCTCACCATAGCACATACCCTCCCCGATGTCCATCACCCAGCCACCCCATCCCTCCCACCCCGCACCACTCCAGCAACCCTCAGTTTGTTTCCTGAGATTAAGAATTCCTCATATCAGTGAGATCATATGATACATGTCTTTCTCTGATTGACTTACTTCGCTCAGCATAATACCCTCTAGTTCCATCCACATTGTTGCAAATGGCAAGATTTCTTTTTTTGATGGCTGCATAATATTCCATTGTGTATATACATATATACACACACACACACACACACATATAAACACACACATATATATATACACATATATATACCACATCTTCTTTATCCATTCATCTGTTGATGGACATCTAGGCTCTTTCCAAAGTTTGGCTATTGTGGACATTGCTGCTATAAACATTGGGGTGCACGTGCCCCTTCGGATCCCTACATTTCATCAAGGCTCTTTAAAAGCCTGTGACTATCTCATGCATCGAGCAATATTTTTAAAGAAATCTCCACACAGAACACAGCACACATGGGCAGCAGCGAAGAGGATTTACATCAGACACTAAGGAGAACTCCCAGCAGTCATCATTAATAAGGTAATAGGCAGCTAAGAAATGTTATAGCAGTGACTTTCTTTCTGAGACAGAATGGCTTCCACAGGTTGTTCCTGACATGGTGGTGCCTGGAGGCTGGCAGATGGACCGAATGATAGATGTGTGATTTTAGGGAGGAAATTGGCTCTAGCCAACTCTCTTGTCCTTGAAAATGCCAAGTGTTTTCAATTTTCTCCCCCTTTTGAACCAAGAGAAAGTTGGAAGGCGATTTTCTCTTATCTGAAAAGTGGTCCAGCTTGCATTTCCCACCCAATTCTTTAAAAATACATACATGTATGTGTTTTGAAAGGAAAGCAGTGATGAATGTTTACTTACCTCCCCTGAGTGGTGCTGGAAGAATGTAACTGCATCTTTCTCCTGGGGCCAACAGGTAAATATCTTTTGTTGCCAGTTTGGCCATATTCTATGTAAGAAGGCCAAAAAGGAACTGACCCTTTGGACAGGTCTAGGCCCTGCAGTACACATTTATCAAAGCTAAATCTAGGTACATGTTTTCAAATTAATTAATCACATGCCAAAGTATAATAATTATACTTATTTCTCGAAATCTCTCCTAATTGACATGTTCGCCTGCTTACTTTCCTTTAGAAAGTCAAAGATCTTTGACATGGGATGGTATCTCACCCTTACTCTTAGTAACCGTCACACAAATCTATAGATGCCTGAGATGTATCTCTTGTCCAAAAATGTTTGGTCAGTGTCCAGTTAAAAAAGCACAGACTATCTGCATTTCGACAGATAAAGGCTTGAATCCTGGCACTGCTGCTGATTAGCAACTTGACTTTGAGTAGGTCACTTATCTTTCTGAATGCCAAATGTAAAATGGGGATGAAAACCTTCTCTGAGGGGTGCCTGGGTGGCTCAGTCGTTAAGCATCTGCCTTTGGCTCAGGTTGTGATCCCAGGGTCCTGGGATCGAGCCCCGCATCGGACTCCCTGCTCTGTAGGAAGCCTGCTTCTCCCTCTCCCACTCCCCCTGCTTATGTTCCCTCTCTCGCTGTGTCTCTCTCTGTCAAATAAATAAAATCTTAAAAAAAAAAAAAAAAAAAAGAGGGGCGCCTGGGTGGCTCAGCCGTTAAGCGTCTGCCTTCGGCTCAGGTCATGATCCCAGGTCCTGGGATCGAGCCCCACATCGGGCTCCCTGCTCCACGGGAAGCCTGCTTCTCCCTCTCCCACTCCCCCTGCTTGTGTTCCCTCTCTCACTGTGTCTCTCTCTGTCAAATAAATAAATAAAATCTTTAAAAAAAAAAAAAAAAGAAAGAAAGAAAGAAAGAAAACCCTCTCTGAAAGGGTTGGTCGGAAGATCAAATGAAGATGCATATGATAAGCCTGGCACAAAATAAGGGCTTGTTGGATTTGGGTTTTCTGTTTCCCCCCAAGGTGGGGTGTATGCAGGGGGGTTTCTTCTGGGAAATGTCTGCTCCCCTCAGAGCTCTACACATACCAGATTCCAAGAGCAATGCAGAAGGGCAAACCAGGACCCCACCTGCCTTGCTTGGGTGATCACATTCTGAATTGCCAATTCTACCTCCTCAGATGATGTAAGACTCCCCTACCAACTCACAACCTAAACAAAATAAGAACACAGCCATGCTCTCGTGGAAAGAGAGGCTCCTTCTGCTCATATACAGAGATGTTAAGCTATCCTGTGGCTCTCTGCAGCTCTCCTATATTTGCAAGGTCAGCCTCCCTCAGGCCACTGGTCATGATGGAGAGAACACCACATTCTGATCAAGTACAGCTGAGTCTGGAGGATGTCAGGGTGTTACAAGAGGAACATGGAAGGAACCTGGGATTTTTATTTGGGGGAAGGAGGTTTAAGGAAGAACCTGTTGTATGACAGAGAATGGAAATTATCTGTGGGCTACAGGAGATGGATTATATCCAGTGATTAGAAACGAAAGAATAAAGAATTCTGTTACTAGTTAGAGTCAACAAAAAATGGAAGGGCTGCCTTACGGAGAAGTAACTTCCTGTCACAAATATCCAAGCAGAGACTGAAAGACATTTCATCAGTGATGGAGAGAGGGATTCATGGATTGGGTAATAAACAGGTGTGTGTGCTCCCTTCTAACTCTACAACCCAAGACGCAGGTCTCAGCTGTAATGCTATGCTAATGACAAAGCACCATGGGAAAATCCACCCAATTCCCCACCTAAGGAGAGGAAGAACAAAGCAATTGGTCAAATAGTCTCCTAAATGTCCATTGTCCATTTCCTTTTTCTTTTTTTCCAAGAGAGAAAGCGAGTGTGGAGCCCAACGCAGGGCTTGATCTCGTGACCCTGAGATCATGACCTGAGCCAAAATCAAGAGTCGGACACTCAAGTGACTAAGCCACCCAGGTGCCCCCTAAATATCTATTTCTAAATACACTTACTATTCATTATCATTTCAAGGGATCAGCTATGGATAAGTTAATTTAACCTTGCACTACTATTCATTATCTCCCTAATTCACAGTATAGTCACACATTTGATTTCCACTGCTTGAATGTAAAGACAATCCACTCTGATTAAGCAACTCCCATCAGCAAAAGAAAGAAAAAGGAAGGAAGGAAGGAAGGAAGGAAGGAAGGAAGGAAGGAAGGAAGGAAGGAAGGAAGGAAGGAAGCAGGGGGAGGACGGACAAAATTCCCATCAGCAACCCATGCCATCAGACTTCACGAAAACCAGAGTGCTTGATCAGGCAAGCCTGGTTGCACAGGTCTGTCCCCCACACCAACTACAGCATCTCAGGCTCCCTGAGCTCTTCCTTGGCTGTACAGGCTTGATGCAGAGGAGACACATGGAGAAAGAGAAAAACTGGTGAAAGATCATAGGCTGTAATCTGTCACTCTGAAATTTAAGTGTGATGTGGAATGTTCTCTAGCTGCTTTTGCTTTTCAAACGTGAATTTTGCTGAGCCTTGGTGTCTGACATGAATCCACGCTACTCCACGGGACACACATCTGATACATGCCGGGCCCTTGGAGTGCTGGCCCGGCTCCTTTGATGTGTGCACATAAGAACACGGTCTGGAATGCGTGTGGAGACCTGAGCAGTCACTGAATGCCACGCCCTTCTCATAGCGGGCTCTTTAGCTGGGCTATCCGTGTCCTCATCTGCAAGGGGGCTACAGAGCTTGGTGAGAAGGAAGCACAAAATCAATCCCAAATGTGGGGCCCTGAGCCATGGCAAGATGGATCACTTCAAAATGGCTTCAATACACTGCCCCATCACTGTGCCCAGCCAGCAGAACCAGAAGGAAATAGTTAAATCGCTCAGATCCTCTGAAATTAATATTCAGAGTTAATGGTGAGATGGGTACGATTCCATCACGTGGGCTGCAGACCAATGCCACAGCTGTAATGTGGCTATTAAAATGCTGTGGTCATGGATATTTAGTCTAATAAATGGATTTTAAACATGGATTCAATTTTTAACCCAACTCTGGAAGTGGTAAGATATGCGAAGAATAATACAACCACAGCTAAATATGTGGTTTACCACTTACTTCCCTGATTAGAAGTTGCTGGAAGAGAGGGCACAGAATTGGGGAACAGGGAAGACAGACAGAGGAGGGGGTAACTCTGAATGCACTGAAGTAGGAATCCTAACTCATATCTAACTTTTCTCCTTTAAGAATGTGACAGTGTAACATTGATAAATCAGTATCTGTGGCCTTAACTACATGACACTGTGGATTTTATGTTTTCACATAACATAATACCCTTTTAATCATCATCGGCTAGGTTATACTTAAATAAAATTTAGGTTTGCTCGTTTGTTTCTTTTTGGTAAAAGAAGCATGCTGTATTCTTTCTGATTAATGGAGGATGCTAAGAATGCATTTTCAATCGGTGCTTCCATACAGGAAAGAAAAAAAGACAGTATTTTATAGCTCCAGATCTTGTTTGAAAGTGACTTTATCTGAAGAGTGAACAAGGAGGTTCAAGGTTAAGTGTCAGAGCACCCAGACCCCCTACATGAGTGAAATGGAATATTTATTAAAATAGGATCTGCCAATAAGTAAGAGACTTATTTACAATTCTGGGGACAAGGGAGTAGATTGTGTGAGAGAGGACTGAGAAGAAAGAGAAGAAGGAAAATAATAAAATAATAAAAAAGAAAATAAGTTTGTTTAGCTCATCCATCAATGCAACAGTAAAGCAACTTTGAGTCAAGCTGGGTTTGTGCCCTTCCAGCAGGTGGTCATACGGGAGGCCTCATCACCAGCAGACACAGACTATCTGGGGGCTCCGTACTCACCAGTGAGTTCTTCCAGAGCAGGCTGTCCACTCTTGGTGTAGTGGCTGGGCTCCATGCTCACACCCGCGGAGCTGGATTCAGCAGTAACATTCCCTTCGGTGTCTGTCTGGGACCTTCACACACAAACCAAAGCAGACACACTTGTCACGAACAGTAGCTACCACATCTGGACCACTGTGGTCTGACCACAGCACCCACCACCCACAAGAAGCTTTAGAACAGAGCAGACCAGCAGACTGACTCTAAATAATTCATCAGCACATGTGGAGCAATGTCCTAGAAAGAGAGAGAACCACCGAACTGTAAAAGATGAAATATTCATTGCCCAAATGGAGGGTCTGCAATCCCTCACTGGGGAATGCTTCTCTGAATCCCCATCAGGGAGCTAGGTCTAGCCAGAAAAATGCTGGAGAGTACCGCGTGGTTTTGATCATTTAACCTCTGCCAAAGAGCAACTTCTAAATACTCAGCAATGCCAGCAAGTCAAGCATAAAGAGGACTCCATTAACAGCCCCACGGCCCTCCCCAAATCTTCCTGACATGGCTCTCTCTGAAAAGGTGACTATAAAACCAGTCAGGAGTGGGTGCCAAGCAGGTGTGTTTGCCCTCCACATCTCTGATTCAGAGCTCAGATCTTCTGAGATGAAAGGTCTCATTGATCATTATTTCAACACTTGGCTGAAATCTGTACTTCCCCAAACCTTCTCTGTGCCCTCATTTGTCAAGCAAATCAAGGCAACTGCTTCGTGCAATGTGTTCTAGCCACAACTACTGCTGACTTAGGCATGGCATGCGAATGCGTAATTGCACTCAGATGCATAACCCTGGGTGTAGCATTATTAATTCATTAGCATCCTGAGCTCATTCAACCAGATTTCACTCTCTGTGAAGAAAGTGGTTGCCAAGAATGTGAACTGTCTTAAATGTGGGGGACGTACTGAGAAACCTCGTCATCTATTCTGCCCCGCCTTTGCCCTCCAAATGAAGCCATCAGTTCCAAATGCCTGCAATCTCCAACCGTCAAGCATATTTGGATTCCCACTGCTCCTCTTGACCCCCTGGCCAGAGTCCAAGCTCTCATCATCTCTGCCCTATAAGCACTGTGTAAACAGGTACACTGCCTTTAGCCTGGAGGTTACAAATGGCAGCCAAGTATTAGAACCAGCCCATGGATTCTTACTGGTCTGTGTAGTATTTTAACACTTTTTGAATTCATTTCAACATTTTAAAACTGGGAGATTTTGCAAGAAATATCTGGATTTCTGCCTTGTCCCTTTCTCTTCTTTTTCTTTCAGTAAAAACAAGAAAGTCAATCAGGACCTTGCCACCTGCTGGTGCCAAGGGATGGTTGCTCCCTCCAGAGAGGCCTAGTCCCTCTGCCCCAGTCCCATTACCTCGAGCCGCTGATTTAGGTTACCTTTTAGGTCTGAATCAGGCACCTGAATCTGCGCTCTCTATTCGAGACCGCTTGTAGGTCTGGTCTCCTCCCCACACCATCCTCCACTGATTTTTGTAATGTGATCACATCACTCTGATGAAAGGCCTCTGATAGTTTCCATTGCCCACAGAGAAAGTTAAGTCCTTACTGTGGAAGACAATGCCCGAAGTGGGGATTCTTCATTTATCTCCAGCCCTGTCTCCTGCCAGTCCTGCCCTGTGTTCCACCCGTGTCTTCTCTCCATTCCGAGATCACATCATGCCCTTAGCAGTTTTGTCTTTGTAGTTACGGTGATCTGTGCCCGGAGGCTCTTTTCCTCTTTCTTCCTCACTTTGCTCCCCATTTGCCTTTAACATGCAGTTCACACGTCATCTTGGCCAGGAAGCCTCCCTGGGCGGTGCTAGCGGATGGCTCTACCTATGTGTTTTGACAGCGCTCTTACTCGCCTGACGCCGATGTATTACAATGGGATCTAATTAATACATCTTCCCTCAACCAGAGAGCTCTCTGAAAGCAAAGACTGGCTTTTTTGATACGTACATACAAGAACCCGAGCTGATCAAGTTCACGTGTAGAGCAGACACTTAGGCAGGGTGCGGTGAACAGACAAATGAGAAATTTTTAAGTCTAGAAAGATGCCGGGTACGGGAAGGAGCATTAGACTCGGAGTCTGAACCCTCTGAGCTGTAGGAGTGCAGCTGGCTGGAGGTAGCCATGCACATCTGAGAAGTCACTTCATACCTCGGACCCTCAGGGCCCCCCATCTGTGCAGCAGGGCTTACAACAGCGACCTCCCCTGATAGGATATAGAAGCATCCAGTAGAGCTTCAAGTGGTAGATATACAGTGTTACTTCTGAATTGATAAACAATTCATTCAGAGTGATTTTAAAAGATGATTTATCTTTCTTTTATGCCTTGGTAACATCACTAACATGGACAGATTCTGGGGCTGGGGGGAGCACTGCAAATTATCTGCAGTGAGCCATGAACTTGATCGAATTTTAGAGCACAAGGGGAGTTTAACCCATTTTTAAAAATCCCCTCATTTCACCCAGTCTCCTCACTCTACAGATGAGGACAATGCAGTTCAGAGAGACGCAGTGGTTCAGAGAGTCAAGACTGTTTCATGCTTAAGAACTCGGTCCCTCTAGTTAGACAGACTTGGGTTTAAACACCAGCTCTTCTAGCTATTAGCTCTGGACTTGGTGCAAGTTAGTTAATTACTCTAAGCCTCAGTTTGCTCACCTACAGAATGGGGATTTCAAAAGTAGCTAGCTCATGGAGTCTTGGGGATGATTATATGGGCTAAGGCACAAAAAGCCCTTAGCTGGGTCTCTGCACATACTTGGTGCATATTCTCCATGGCTGTCCTTGCAGGCAGGGCCCAAGACCACACAGGGAGTCACAAGCTAATAAAAGACAGAGCCCAGGCGTCCCGATGCCCATCCTGGTTCACCTGACAAGGAAAGGCACATCAGAGGGGCCAGAAGGACATCGTACGGGGTGAACGTGAAAATGAAAATGCAGTTTGACAGATAGCGTGACATTTTCTCGTTCCTCCTATTTGTCAGACATTTGCTCTTTCATTAGGAGTTTTCCTCTCATAGAAAAGCTTGAAATTTTAAAAGAGGTTAAATGTTTTACAATCTTTCCAGTGACTCCAGAAAAAAAGAAAGAGGGAGTGAAATTGATGGTGACCAAAGACCATCCTATATTTTCATTTCGAAAATGCAAATCAAGAATCTTTGAGCAGGAGCTTGAATATGCGTGACCTCAAGACTATTAATGTTATTGGAATGATAAAAATTTCATGGGGAGCAATTCAGTTGCCTCCATGGTTCAGTGAACAACTGAATTCAAAGCCCTGCAAGGAGACTCTGCATGGAGTGCTGAGTCATTCATTCTCTAAGCCCTGGCACTCTTCTCCAACGGTTAGCTGAGCTGATGACTTGATGGAATAAAGAGATGACCTCCTCCCAATTAAAAAGCCCGGGCTTGACCCCTGCTGACGGGGAGGGTGAGCAGAAGAGAAGGAAAGAGGGACGAGGAGAGGCCTGGCATTCCCTCACTGGCTGGCCCTGCCTGGTTTTGCTCTGAATCACTCAGGCCAGTCTTTCCAGCCGCTGTGGGCAGGGATGGTAACAAAGCCTCCCAGAGTACCACTCGGGCAGGGAGAGAGGGGATATCCAATTCTCTGGGGAACCATATAAACACAGGAAGCTGAAGGTGTGGGTATGAGTCTATGCACATGAACAGGGTTGTAAATACACGTGGGCATACGCACACTAGCATTTTGTAAAGGAATAAGAACTTGTCTCCATACTTGTGACTATCCATGTATGTCCATGCCTATGGGTGCATGAGTGTGTGTATCGTGTATATGTGTCTATACTTAGGGCAGAAGCTGTACAATAAGTGCCTGGAACATGGCATTCGATCTTTGGGCCCCTTTTGCTATGCAGGGGGTATTATTAACATTCGGCTGTGCAGACTGGCCAAAGGTACTACACATCTTAAGTATACGATCAAGCTGAGCACTATGAGCAAAGCTTTGGGCCTCCCTTAAAAGCAGCGCTAGGGGTGCTTCCATCTGCTGGAGAGGACTCGTCAGCACGTGTCAAGTGCCACCAAGAGCCAGCAACCTCCGTGCCGCAAAGGTGTGCGGAGCAGGCTGAGACACACGAGGACTTTGCGGGCCACCTGGCTCCACGTTCTCTCCCGTGGTCCCATGGATGTGCCGTTAAGAGACGAAGAGGGACCGGGGGACGGGACGGAGTCAGACAAGCAAACCTCCAGGCTTGTCTCAATATAATCTGGTTCTTTTTGTTCTTCTAGAACCGGTCCCTTCCTCCCGTTCCCGCTCTCCTCTCAAGAGTCTAGTACACAGCAAGGACTGAAAAAATACTTAATACATGTGACGTAGTAAGAAACCATGAGTGTCTGGAAGTTCAGGATAAACCCCTCTGTGAAAAGAAGCCTCAGGTATTCAGCAAGGTGATTTCCGTGGTTTTCATTTTTTGAAGTATGTTCAGGATCCGTTAGGACTGACGCTGGGGCCTATCGTGTCCAGCGACACCGAACCACCCACCAGGTCTCCTCGTGCTGCAGCTGCTTCAGTAAATGCCCCCCTGGGGCCCCACATGCCTGGCAAACTCCTCCTCATCCTGGGGGCAGCTCGAATTTTGCTTCCTCTCTTCAGCTTTCTCTCCCCGTCCCCGCCCAAGCCATGCCGGGCTAACTGGTCCCTCCAGCACACGTGCACAGCTCCATCAGCAGCTGGTCAAAGGGTACCTCAGCTGCTAGCCTTCCTGCTCCCGGAAGGCAGGCCCGATTCCTGCCCTCAAAGACCTAGAATCTACCAGAGAGGCTCCCTGGCCCATGGCCCAGCACGGGCGGGCAGGCGGCCACACCTACCTGTACAGGAAAGGTGCGACGGTGGCCGTGTTGGGGTGGTTGTATTGCTGCTGGGGCTGAGGTAGCTGGACACTGACGGTATTGCTTCCTGTGGTCTGGGTGGTCCCGACGGACCCGCTGACAGTCTGGCTGCTGATGCTGTGGTTCAGGGTGGTCCCTCCGGGGCCTTTGCCTTCTGAGGACGCCAGGCTGGAGGAGGAACTGGAGTGTCTGCCGTCCAGCTGGGGCTTCTGCTGGGGGAGCCCCGAGCTCGGCTTCCCACCCCGGCTCCGCTCCACCTCCTTGGAAGGCGCAGGGGCACTTGGGGACTTCCCGGGCATGCTCTTCATTCCTGGTTTTGGTATTCCACTGTGGGAAGGGGCTGTAGCCTCCTTCTTGGCACTGTTGAGCTTTCCCCCTTTGGGGATGAAGCTGGCGATCTTGGAGGACTTTTTTGGCATCTCGGTCACCACCGCCCCACTGGGGTCTTCCTTCGGCCCCTCTTTGAGGTCCGGCCTTTCCGTCACAGAGGCTCTCTTGGCGAGGTCCTTGCTTTTCTCCTTTTCCTTCTCCCGCTGTTGTTTCTCCTTTTCTTTCTCATTGGCTTTCGGGGAACTCTTCTTGTTGGTCAGCGCCCGGCTAAAAGTTCTCTGGGCGATGCCCTTGAGCGCAATCTTGGGGCTGTTGGAAGCGGGACCCGCCGTGGACAGCGAGCGACCGGTGGCCTCCATCTCTTCGCTCTCTTCAAAGCTGGGCAGAATCTCGAGCCGCTCGCAGCTCGTGTCCCGCGACCCCGGGCCCTCGCCTGCCTTGGAAGCCCCTTTGCTGTTGAAAAGCTTGAGTTTTTCCAGCATGGACTTCTGATTGTTGGGGGCTGGCTTCATGGCTTCAGCTGGGGGCCTGGGGGCCTCGGGCACGGGCTGCTTGACCGAGAGCATAGACGACGTGGCGCTGTGCTTCACGCTGACCGACTTACTGCGCCAGGGCTTGGAGGCTGCGCCGGGCTGTGGGATAGCTGAGGAGGTGCTGCTGTTAGCGGGGCTGGAACTGCAGCCGCTCTCCAGAGGAGCAGGTGCATTTTCGCTCATTCCGGGGTGGGCGGAGGCTGGGCTCGCCAATGGCTCTGCAGAGATGGGGAGGAGAAGGAAAGCCGAATTATGCCTATGGACCTGCAATGCCGGTGAGGGAGGGTGGGCCATGGTTCCACGGCCCATCACTCTCCACCCAAATGCCAGATGGCGCCACCACCCGCCTGGTGCATTACCTGTGCTTCCAATTTCAGATCCTACCTGCCAACCGCTCTCCATCACACACCGTTCACATTCGCCGGCACATTCCGGGATATGCCGTGCAAATGCACACTGATCTTAACACCAACATGCGCAAAGCACAATTAAGCATACATTTACGGAAACACAAACTAGCAAAAACCTCCATCACCACTATGGTGTGTAGGAAAGATGTAGGAAATGCCTACTGTTTTAAATTATTCAACCCACAACCCAAGTTCCCAGTTATGCGAAATAACTGGGAATTAGCCGACTTTAAGAAAATGTAGGAGAGACATTAAAACAGGACGAAAAAAAAAAATAGAAAAAGAAAGAAAGAGAAACCAAGCATGATCTTTACAGAAGAATAATTACCCGAGAAAGTCGCTAGGTCCTATCAAAGCATATACATTTTTCTGTGCTGACACTCTGAAAGAGATACAAACATGATGCAGGCAAGACTTAAAAAAGATTTTTTAGCTTCAGAGTATCACCCGCACATGGCTGCACCGTAGGCATGAAAACACACAGGTTATCACAAAGTCAAGGCTTCCCCCTTGGCGCTCGCTCGGGGAGCATTTCCCCAGCCAGACTCTCTTCTCAGAATAAGCCTCAAGATATTTCCAAACTGAGAATCGGAGTGATTCTGAGAAGGGCGGGTTCCACACTGGACTTGTGCTCGCCACCAAGGGGGCCCATACCCCAGGAATGAGGACCGTGACGCCCTCCTCCGGGAGCTCTCAGAACCACGCCACTCTGTTGCCCGCATTACGGTAGCTGTCAGAAAGTGGCCGGGAGGGCACGTCACGGCTGAGCCCGGTGCCACGCCACCCATACCCCACGCCCGCCCACTGCACGGGACAGACGGGACGCGGCACTTCAGCCCCCAAAGGGCACATCCGCGTCTGCAAAGTCACCCTGACATGACTTACCTGGCAGCAGCTACTTTCTCCCGCAATGGTTCCCCAGGAAAAATTCTCCAACCAGAGAGGCTGCCCTTCCAATTGTCACAAGTGTTTTCAGTTAAACTGCTCATGTTTCTAATTAGCTTTTGTCATCCGCAACTGCTCCAGTACCCAGAAGCCTGGCGGGATTAACGGCTGCTGCTTCTGCCTTTTTTTTTTTTTTTTTTAATACCTATGTTCCGCTGCCTTCTAGCAACAGAGTAAACTGTGTATAGAGCGGCGTTTTATGATTTAAAAGTCAACGGCCACCGAAGCTGAGCGCAGGCAGCCCCTGTGTGGGGCAGGAGCACCGAGCCCCGAGAACTCCCAGCGGAGGAACTGCTTCCTTCCACTCACTCCCAGTTGCTCCGGGGAAGCCACAGCTCCAGGGTGATCCAAAGCAGACCTCCCAATGTTTTAAAACACATACATCTTCCTGACTTACTGGGGATTTGGGTTTGGAGCGGGGGGTGCTGCCCAATCCTCCCTAACAAAACTCACGGGGCGTTGTTGGATCTTTTCCTGGGGAGAGCTGGAGACTGGCCGGGAGACAGGCTCACGAACCCACCCACACAGCTGGCCTTTCAGAGGGTCTCCACAGGCCGGACGCTGCTTACAGAGGGCCTCCTGGTATCAGGAGGTGCAGTGCTAGGCGCGCCGTGAAGAGGGGCTCAGTGCCCCTTTTTTATGAGTCGGGAAATGGAGGCTCAAGGGAGGGCTAATAACTGACCCGAAATCACATAGCTAGACGTGGACGTAGCTGGGACTTGAACCCAGGGCTCCTGACACAGTGCTCTCGGGACTGCATCATCACAGCTACCTCTTTTGATGAAGGGTATATTCAAACAAGAGCCACTTGAGAGTGCTTTTGAGGCATCAACTTTTCCGTTGCTTAGGTGTGTTCAAGGCATCCTTGGTGGGGCGCAAGCCAACCCAGCCATCGGAAGGGAGGCAGCCTATGTGTAGAGGTTGGCTCTCTGGAGGAAATACTTGTGACCTCCGATCCCGAGTTCCACTTCTCTTAGGACAACCGTCTTTCCCTTTACCTGGGCTCAGATCTGGGGCAAAAGTATTCACTCACTTGTTCATTCAATATCTCCACTCATGTCAATATTCACTCATTCAATGCATATGTAAGACATTTTTCTCTATACCTGGGCTACGCCGATGTGAAACAGGAAGGCCCCTGCCTTCATGGAGTTTACATTCCAGCAGAGAGGAACAAATGGTAATTAACGTAGTGAATGAATTTTATCATTTGTTAGAAAATAAGCGCTACAGGATGTAATGAACACTGGGTATTCTATAAGACCGATGAATCACTGACCTCTACCTCTGAAACTAATAACACATTATATGTTAATTAATTGAATTTAAATTTTTAAAAATGAGGAAATAAAGAAAGTAAGTGCTAACGTAAGTGCTAAAGTCTTTGGGGGCAGGTTGTAACAATGGACACTGTTACAAGAACCACATGACATTCAGAGGTGCACCCCGCTTTCCTAAAGAAGTCTTGGGCACATTCCACTGAGCGTAAGTACACGGGTCAGGGTGACTTCTCTGCGCCCACACATTCCTTGGAACTTCTATAAAGCCTACTTGAAATGGTTTTGACAAATGCCCCTACCTAGCACGTCTGTGTATTTTTAACACTAACATACACAGCTAGAAATTAACCAACGACCATCTAGCTCAACGAGTTACACAGACACCTGGCTCGGATACGTAAAATATACAGAGCAAGCTGAGGCTGTGTGTCTCCTTCAGACGCAAGGTGCAGGGCAGCGGGGAAAGGGCTCTCACGATGTAGGCATGACATATACTCACACTGTCGCTTCTCAGGCTGTGCCAAAATGGCTCCCAGAAACTCCTACTTGTCTTTTAAACCCCTGCTCAAATGCCCTCTCTGTCACAGTGAGACTCTAAAGCTGAATGAATCACTTGGTTTACATCACATGGCATTTTCCCCTACTCTGTATTTCCCTAGGACATTGTTCATACCTCCTCATAAACAGATTTGAGAGGGCTACTTACTTACATTAGGCACTGGGAATCCAGGAGAATAAAATAGAGCTCCTGCCCTCTAGGAACTCACTGTCCAAAGGGGCAACAGGCCTCCAAGAGAGCAGAGAACAATGTAAGGGACTGTAGAGGGATGCACAAAGTACCATGAGGCCTAAGGGTTGGGACCCATTAATTCTCCCATTTGGGAAACCTTCACAGAGCCAATGACCTTTGAATTGTCGTGCCATGTTTCTGGTATAGGCTGGCTGGCTATCCATTGCCCCCCGCCCCCCGCCTCATCTTTGTGCCCTATAGCTTTCCAGAGCATAGAAACACTCGTGGCTTTGGAATTGTAGGTTGGTAGTTTGGGCTTTTGCAATTCACATTTAAGGCAACAGAGACACAGACTTCTGATTAGTCATTAGAGTTTTATTAAAACTTTTTAGCCTAAACTCCGGCAAAAACAAAAAACAAAATCAGGGCTCAGGGCCTCAGATTTTCTACTTGGCATTTAGCCTGGGCTCCCCTGTTATGGAATCATGGGGACATTTCAAGGCTATTCGTCATAGCTATAAAAGGTAGAGATGATCTGAATGTGGTTTCCAGAACAGGAGTTTCCTGAGTAGGGCAACAGGGCATGAGAGCACCTGAGGATAAGACCATCTATACTTTGTACTTATGTCATGGCTAGAAATCCCCTTAATAGTGAAGGGGGCTCCAGGTCATGAGTGGTCTTGACATGTCCTGTCATTCTGAAGGTAACACATAAGTGACCTTGGCCGAAGTGGCTGTTTGGGGCCTGTTCTTCTTTCTTTGGAAAGCAGTCATTTCTAATGCCAGGATTTTGTGATTCCTAGCATGAGACTGTCCTTACCTTGCTTCAGAGATAGTGAAATAAATACAAAAGAGACGTGGGTAGGTGAGCCAAGCCTTAAGCCTCGTTACCAGCCAACGGTGTGACCTTAGATATGCCATTTTTCCCCTCTGGGCCTTAGTCGCCCCATTTGTAAGAAACAGGATGAGCTATTTCTCTAGAATCTTTTCAGCTCCACTTCCATTCAAAGCTCAGTGAGTCTCCGAGAGGCCCAGTGCGGTTGGGGCCAGAGAACGCAGCCCTCACTAAGTTCTGTCCTTATTCTGGGCTGACATACAGGTGTTTCTTTACCTTCAAGCATTCTGCCTCCACGGTTCTCTTAAGATGTTTACTTGTAAATGTCAGAGAAAACTGGCTGGGTCAAGGAAGAGTCAGCCTTGAATGAGGAGCTTGTGAATTCAGAAATGCTGGTATTCTATGAAAACAAGCCTGGGGGAGGGAAAGTGGGAGAGTTCTTTAAAATTAAGAGCACTTCTCTCCCTAATAAGGAACAGCTCTAGTTTCTGTTCTCAAGTATACAAACCTTTGTTAGAGCAAAGGAATCTAAGAGGGAGAAAAGAGGAAAGCATAAGAAAATGTTCTGAACATCAGTATTTCTCCAGCAAGGGTATGTGGGCCCCTGAAGTAGGTAAGACTCTTTTCAGGGCATATGGGTGAATATTTTTAAAAAATTTTTTATTTAAATGCAATTTTATTAACATACACTGTATTATTCGGAGGTGGATGAGTGTTTTTATATTTTAAAAGTCATATATTTTATTGCAATATTAGAAGAGATAACTGGCACATATATAAATTAACTGTTTCATGGATATTTGATAGAGATTTAAAATTTGAGTCGACTTAACGAAAATATAAGACAAAAAAAGTTCAGATTTGGCTAAACTCACGCAAGTTTGTGAAAGACTTAAGTTGGGGAGACGCTTTTCCATTAAATCAAGAAGTACTTATTTTCTATATAAAATATGTAATAAATGTTTTATAAATACCTATTTATATTAAATCTGTTCTTTTGGAAAATGTGATCAATGAA